GGCCCTCAGTGGAGCCAAGCAGATGGTAGCACCAGGCTTAAGAGCCTTAAGACTTCCAGAACTGTAAGAGGAGTAAGCCTCTTTTCTTTACAAGTTATTGGGCCTCAGGTAATGGTAAGCTCAAATGAACTAAAACTTTGTTAGAATGGGCCTAGTGACACATCTCCAACATGTGTTTGTTATCTCTCTTGTGCTCTCAGAGGGGCTTCCCCTCTGGGGGAGGGGGGTACTGGACAGCACGTGGCCCCTCAACCTCAAGGCTCTATAAAATGAACTTCCATTTCTCTCTTCTTCCACAGAGGCCATGAGAGGAGGAGGACTTGACATTGGTATGAAATGTGACCTAGGCCCTGATCCTGAGCCAAACCCTCCTGTGACTGAGAAAAAAGAAGCAGCAGAGGAGGCTCTGGGTGACCAGAAGGATGTGTTCCCAAGCCAGTAGCCCTGGGGAGGTCTGGCTCAGGCCAAAAGGTGCTGTCCTTCCATCTGACACCGTTTTTAGGACATGGTGATATATTATAGGGACTCACTTAGCCATGCAGAGAGTACAGAGCATACCTGGTGAGTTTGTGCTGTAGGTCTAAGGTTTTAGTTGGCCCTGGGCCTCGAGATCAGCTTAGCAGGTCTATTTAATGTTAGATTGCTGCTTCTAGCTTCTTTGCCATGACTAACCAAAACTTGGCCATCTCTTCCTGCATGGGCCCTGGCTCCCAATTCTGGCCACTCTAAGCTGCTATGGCCTCTGCATATCTGACGCCTTCTAGCAAATGCTCCACAGCTGCATGGAAGTCATACTTAGTCTGTAGTTATTGTCACGGACTCTCAAGCACTTTCCTGAGCCCAGAGGCCTTCCTTTACTGCCTATGAGGACATGAACACATCTCCAGGGATAGCTGCTCATCAAAGAGGCTTCTCCACCCTGCCCCACCTGCTTTCTCACCACCCATCCTCACTGGCTCTCCCTTTCATTCAGAACTTTAGTCTGGGGCTTGCCCATCTGTATAATTTATATACTTTTAAATTACATTTGTTGATTTTGAAGGGATCTTACTGTTGCACCCAGGCTAGTCTCAAACTCCTGGGCTCAGATCATCCTCCTGCCCTAGAATTCCTAGCAGCTGAGACTACAGAGGTGTGTCTACAGCTTTTCTCCCCACCTGCAGACAGTCTTACTCTATAGCCCTGGCTGCTCTCAAACGCACCATCCTTATCTCGCTACCCCAACTTCCCATGTGTTGGAACTGCAGCTGTGTAGACATGCACCGCCACCTAACTTTACCATCCATTCCAGACTTGCATTCTGTGCAAAGACAAGACAATCCCTCATTTAAAGACGGTGTGCCAGAGGTTTTCAATGCTATGACAGTGTGTAAGGGAACCTATACAGCCATCCTGTACTCCATTTTCATAGCAAATTATATGAGTCATTCAACACTTCATTATAAAAGAGGCTCAGCAAGTAAAGGTGCTTGCAACCAACCGGATGACCTAAGTTTGATTCCTAGGATCTACATGGTCTGGAAAGAGAACCAACTCCCAAAAGCTGTCTTCTGACCTCCACACATGTTTTCCATGCCTCCATCTCACAAGTAAATATAATTTTTTAGAATTGGGGAGGTGGATAGATGGCTCATCAGTTAATAGCATATTCTGCTTTTGTAATAGACCTGACTTTCAGTCCAGGCATCACACCAAGTGGCTCACAATCATCTGTAACTCCAGCTCCAGAGGATATGACACCTCTGGCCTCTGTGGGCACCTGGTGTGCCCGTGTGCATGTACCCTCACAGAGACATACATATATAATTAAAAATAATAAAAATGAATCTTAGGCAGACATGATGGTATACACCTTAACCTGCACTTGGGATGCAGAGGCAGATAGGTCTTTGTGAGTTGAAGCCAGCCTGGTCTACATAGAGTTTCAGACCTGTCAGGGCTACAGAGTGAAAACCTGTTATAACAACAATAGCCAAGTTGTCTTTTAAAATGAACTTTGTGCTGGATGATTTTTCCCAACTGTGGGCTACCTTAAATGTTCAGTACCCCATCTTTTTGCCCTGTGCACCCCAGATATGCCACATATGGCTTGGATACAGGAAGTGGCCCTGAGCCCGGCATTGTTCCACTAAGATCTGGCTTGGTTGTGGCTTTGGCTTCCAATCTGGAGGCTGGCTCAGGAAAGTCCCTTCCCTGCCTCAGTTTCTCTACCTGCCAAATAAGTAGGTTATCTTTATCAGCCTTCTTGTCCCGAGGCTGAGGAAGAGGCTTGTTTCGTTTTGTTTTTCCTGGGGAAATCTCACCTTCAAAGTGCTGCATTTTTATTACAGACATTTATGAAAACAATGGTGGCAGGCAGTGATTGTCTTAATTATGATAATTAAGGAGAGAGAGAGAGAGAGAGAGAGAGAGAGAGAGAGAGAGAGAACCTACTTATTTATCAAATCCTCAAAGGTCTTCAAAGACAGCAGTCTTCTTGTGCCCTCCCCCAAAACCCCAGAGCTGGGACATAAACTCCTATACTACTAATTTACCCAAATCAGAAGACACACACACACACACACACACACACCTCTTTTTAACATCTTCAGTGGCAGCTTCTATTTGTCCAACAGATGGGCTATATCAAATTTGGTAAGAATCTATTTCCATCCTGCTGGAGATGGGAATAGACTTAGAGTGTGATAGCTCAGGAATCCTTCTAACAGCCTGAACTTGGGAGAGGAATAAAGACAACGTGGGCTAGCAGGGAGGGTGGCAGGCAGGGCCGGGTGGACACAACCTGCATTCGGCTTTTCATCACAGTCTGGGGCTAAATTAGTCAGGTATCTTCCTTCACATACCAGGGCTGGGCTGCAGGGGACATGTGGGTCTGGTATAGTGCCTGGGTACCAGGGCACCACAACCCACTCCTCACCACAGCCTTGATCTTCATCCCTGAATCATCCTTTAATGAGGTCCCGTTTTCAGTCTGCACCCAGTTATTAAGTGGACCATTTCTTCCATGACTGTGTACTATCGTCTCCCCGCCCCCAACTCTGAGAGAACTGTAGGGGTAACAGTGGGAAGATCGAGGACGCTGCTGTGAGCTCAGCCCTAACTTGACCAGTAACTCCACCAGGGCAGCCCACCCACCCTACAAACCAGTACTGAACTGAGCTGGGCTCCCTTCAGGGAAGCTCACAATTTTCCATTACGTTTTATTTCTAAAGGCAGAATCTCATGTAGCCTGAGCTGGTCTTGAACTTTGCTGTTTAGCGCAGATGACCTCGAACTCGTCATCCTCCTACCTAAATCCCCAAGTGCTGGGATTTCCAGCTCTCACCACCACACCCAGTTTTACACAGCACTGGGAATGGAACCCAGGGCTTTGTGCCAGCCAGTCACTCTACTATCCAAACTACATCCCCACCCCCTTCTGTTATTTCTTTACCTGTCAGTTAACCCATGTTACAGCCACAGAATAGAAGATGCACAGTTGAGCAAAAGAGAACTAAAACCTTCCGTGGTGGGTCAGCGAGATGCTCCACTGGTACAGGTGTTTGCTGCACAATCCTGACAGCCTCAGTTGGGAATCCACTTTTTAAAGGCCGGACATGGCCATTGAGGTGGCTGGGAGGGTAAAGGTCCTGGTGCCAACCCTAATGGCCTGAGTTTCATCCCCAGGACTCCTGCAAGTTGTCCTTTAACCACCACATGCCCACACATATAAACACATACTCAAAGTAAATAAATACACATAGTAAAACAATTAGCTTTAAAGTCAGATGTGGTGGCAAGAAACTGAAATCCTGACACTCCTAAGTCAAGATGAGAGGCTGAGACAGAACTACCCAGAAGCTCTAGGGCCAGCTAGCTCAGAGAGCGTAACTCCACCAAAACCACAAGAAGCCTTGCCTCTCAAAGGTGGCTTGGTAAAGCTGTCCCCTGACCTCCATACTCATACCATGGGACTCCTGCACTCATACACAGAGAGAGACTGAGTAATTTGCAAAATTAGTTAAAAATATTTTTGTGTATTGTTATGAATTATATATAATATATATGGAGCATAATATATATTATATATATTTCCCATGATTCTACTGGAGAAGATCACTGTTGTGTGTCTTCATGTCACAGACTGCTCTGTGATAACTGTTGGTTCTTACTAGTGCATGAGGATCTATCCAGGCCACAGGGACATTCTCGGTTCATTTTGATGACTGCCCGTTGTGTTCTGGAGGATGTCTCTTGGACCAGTTTGTTTCTGGCGCGATGAATAATACTGCTAGGGATAGCCTGCATCCATCAGGAGCATCTCTCCATCAGACGCTCAGTTACAGGGTGCTGAGGATTCAGTCCTTCACAAATCACAGACCTTTGGAGACACATCTCCGGGCATAACTTGTATCAAGTTCTTGACATTGGTGACCAGATAGGCATGGCTAGGGCAGAGGGCAACCCTCTGCGTTCCCTAACGACAGTGTCTGCTCCAGAATGGCCTGGCAGAGGTCACTCCTGGGGACAAAATAGTGCCCAGAGGAAGCAGGGAGAGTCAGGCTGGTTCTTGGTTTGTGGGTCTGGTCTTAGGACAGATTCATTGGGCCAGGGTTTCACTAGGTGGTCATGTTTAACCAGCCCTCAGGTTGGGCTGCTGTGATTGAGTGTGGAAAATTCTATTTGAAATTGGACCATCCTAGATAATTCAGAGACTCTGAAGTACCCCTGGACGGGCTCCGGGCTGCCCTTGCCCAGCATGTTGGGAGGGGAGAGAGGCACAGACTTCACAGAGACGGCCAAGGGCGGCTGGGCCGGGCCCTGCCCCCTATCCGGCCTCCACCCCTGCCCTTCCTACGCTCCCGGCGGGCGACCTGGTAGCTCCGGAGCCCAAACCTGTCGGGCCGGTTTGTAGAGCCACAGGGACCGAGGGAAAAAGGCTACAGAAGGATGCACGGCCTGCCCCGTGCTGGTCTGCACTGTCCACCGCCTGAGCCTGTGCTGCCCACCCGCCCAAACTCATGACGCGCACTACCGATCTCATGGTGCCCCTGCTGGGCCTGAGCCTGGCACTGGCCCTGAGCCTGCCCGGAGCTGTGGCAGCCGACTGCGAGTCCCTCGGGCGCGTGGAGCACCTGGCATTTGCTCAGGTGGCCAGGACGCGGGAGCTAGCCCCCTGTGACCGCGCGACAGGGCCCCTGGACTCCCTGTATGGCACCGTGAGACGATTCCTCTCTGTGGTTCAGCTTAACCCCTTCCCGGAAGGTGAGTGTCCCTTCCCCCCAGGGGAACTCTACAGGCACTGGATCTCCAACTAGCCTCTGTGCACATCCTGTCTATAGGCACTTGCAGGGTGAGGTTTCTGGTACCACACAGCCTTTTTCTTCCACACGTTCTTAGATTCCAGAAGCAGCTCCCTAGCCCTCCTGTTTGACCTTGGGCCAGCCCCTTTTCCTCTCTATGTGCGGTGTACATTATGTTAAATCTGGCTCATTGTCCCAGTGCCATGTGTCAGAGTTCAGGGAGGCCAGAAGAAGCAGGAGGAGGGGAAGGACTACCAGGCCAGCCACAGGGCCTACCAGAAGGGGTCTGGGAAGGTCTGTGAGGCCTTCTACCAGCTGCCTCTTCTGCAGCATGATGAGGCCTGGCAAGGTGTCACAGCCACATGACACTGTCCTCTCTAAGAACCTCCCTTAGCTTGGCAGTGAAGAGAGGCTAGACACAAGGGCAAGGCGGTGGCTTTCCACAAACCCTCAGCTTGCTTCCTTTCCCCAGAGTTGATAAAGACCCTGCTGAACGATCCATCTTCTGTGAAGACAGATGAGGTGAGGAGCGAGTTGCAGGCGTTGGGGGAGAGAGTTAAGGGTGAGCAGGAGGGGCCATGCCTGCACAGTTCAGCCCACCTTGCTGAGTGTTTGCCAGAGTGGAGTCTTAGGCATCCTTTCCCTTCAAGGCGGGGTTTGCAGTGATCCCCAATGTCTCTAGACCTGAGTTGTCTTATCTGTGCAATGGTAATTAGCAAGGATGCCACTCACCTTGTGTGTCCCGTGAGGGTTCCCCAGGGTACACGGAGAGGCACACAGGCCTTCTCTCCACTTCTGACTTCTGCTGGAATAGGGGAAAGGCAGGATGGCACCCTCAAGCCTTGCTGCCTTGCCCAGGTGGTTCGGTATGAGGCAGGCTACGTCGTGTGTGCTGTCATTGCTGGCCTCTACCTCCTGTCGGTACCCATCACTGGGCTTTGCTTCTGTTGTTGTCGCTGCCGCCAGCGCTGTGGAGGCCGAGTGAAGACGGAGCACAAGGCCATGGCCTGTGAACGTGGCACCCTCATGACCTTCCTGCTGCTGACTACCCTTGTGCTTCTGTGAGAGGCTGCCTAGGTCAGGAGGGAGGACTGGATGGTGGCCCTGTGCTCCTGGGCACACTGAAAACCCCTTTCTCCTTGCCTCCCTCCCTGCAGAATTGGTATGGTCTGTGCTTTTGCTACTAACCAGGACACACATAGTCAGTCAGGCCCCAGTGTGGAAGCTATCCCTGAGACCCTGCTCAGCCTAAGAGGCCTGGTCTCTGATGTTCCTGAAGTGAGTACTGTCTAAGCCCTCATCTGTGTGTGAGTACCAAGCCTCAAGCCTGAGAACCTGCAGAGCAGAGAGGGTGTCCCTTCCCACGTGTACTTGACTGCCCCCTGATGGAAAGTCCCTGAAATACCTAAGTGTAAGCCAGGGCTGCTGAAGGACAAGGGAAGATGGCTTTCTTCCCTGTGTTTGCTTAGGAGCTGCAGGCCATGGCTGAACAGTTCTCTGTGCCTCAGAAGCAAGTCTCAAAGGAGTTGGATGGTGAGAGTTACAGTTGGCCAACTCCAGGTTCCTCTGCCCTGGCCTGCCCTAGAGACACCTCTCACCCCCCCCCCACCCTTAGTCTGGATTCCACCAGGGTACCACTTCACAGAGAAGGAGCTCCCGTGCAGCGGCCATATTACGGCAGGATAAAGAGGCCAACACCACCTTGCAGAGACCACGGATTATGGGTGGCAATGGGAGTGTCCTCAGCTCCTGGAGGACTAACCCTGCCAAATGCCCTGTGTTGTCCAGGTATCGGTGAGAACCTTGGGAACATAATTCATAACCGGCTCAAGAGCATAGTGTACCCAGTGCTAGCCTCAATGCACAGCTTGGGCCAGGGTGAGTTGGACCAGTGCCCTGTATGTGGGTGGGTCGGGCAGGTGTCCTCTAGGAGCCAATTCTCCCATCCCCCACCCCTGCATTTCACGTACTACCCCAGCTCCACCCAAGTCTTTCTCCTCTCATTATTCAGGAATCCTGTATGTGGCATCCCTGCCTACCTTCTGGCCTCATGTGCCCAGCGGCAGTTTCCATTGTGGCTATAGACAGTATATGTCTCAGGAGGAGGGAAGATGGTGCCTATTTTTCCTAGGTTACCGAGGGCACCAGGAAATGAGGAGATCTTCAGGCCATGTGTAACTCTCTTAGCCCTGCAGGTCTCCATAGACCACCTTCGAGCCCTGAACACCACCTCAGTGGAGCTGCAGGAGGGTCAGCAGCACCTGGAACCACCTGTGCAGGCGCTCCGGGAACGCCTGCTCACCCTGCTTCAGAAGAGCTGGTGCCATAACTGCGAGGGGGTCCTAAGCCGGGCCAGTGCTCTGCAACTGGGTGCTGACTTTAGCCAGGTGCAAGCCCTGAACAAAGCCACTGGGACTTGGAAGGACTGGTCTAGCCTACACTTTTGGAATCCTCTGTCATCCTAGTAACCAGGCGACTTTCCTTCCTTGTGCCATGCCTTCCTTTCCAGAGCACTCAGGGTTAATGACCCTTCATTCTTAGAGTGAGCCAAAGTTCTCCATATGCCACACACTGAGCCCCAAGCTTCATGTGTATTAGTTTTTCAGGCTCTTCCTCCCAGAGTGCTAGGGACTCTGTGGTCCCCGTTTTACATTTGAGGATACTAAGGGTTCAGAGGCACCTCCTTCCTCATATAGAGATTTTTCTCATGTCATAGACACTCCTCATTTCAGGTGCCCCATGTGGGTGATGTCCTGCTTCGGCTGAAGGGTGTCCCAGAAGCCAACTTCTCCAGCCTGGTCCAGGAGGTCAGCCCTATTTTTGTTACCTGGGCTCTTGCTCCACCTACCTAGGAACTAACAAGGGAAAGGCCTCAGTTTCACTCTCTAGAAGAAGAAACCAGTTAACCTGGGCAGTGGTGGCTTTAATCCCAGGACTTGGGAGGCAGACACAGGCAGATCTCTAAGTTCGAGGCCAGCCTGGTCTAGAGTAAGTTCCAGGACAGCCAGGGTTATACAGAGAAACCCTGTCTTGAAAGACCAAAGGAGGAACCTGATTAAATTGAGTCCACTCTTCCCCTGTGGCAGCCTGGGCTAGAGGCTCATTGTGCCAGTCCCCACTGCACATAGTCAGATGGGAAAGGCTGATCTGCAGCTCAGAAAGAGTTGGGCTCCCATTAAGGACAGGGTCTTTGGGCCATAAGGGAACAGGTGCTTTGGCTGTACCCCAGAGGGCAGGCCTGCTCTCTGAGTGGAGACAGCCAAGGCAGGGGTGGTACCATGTGAGTCAGAGCCTATGACCCAGGGCCTGGAGTTGGAGAATCAGTGAGTCAGCTCTGCTGGGAGGCTGGGAAGAAGGAAGCCAGACTAACGCAGACGGAAGGTTGGAGCTGGGCTGAGGGAGTAGAGCCGGCTGTTAGCATGGGGTGGATGCACAGCGAGAGGATGAGAGCCAGGGCTGTCTAGGAAGTGGCTTCGAGCAGAAGAGGGTGAAGGAGTGCGTAATGTGCCATGTGTGGAATACTCGAGTCAGGCAGGAGAAGCCATGTTTGCAAGGACAAGACCACTTCCTTTGCTGGGAGCATTGGATAGCAGCACCTTCCCTCTGGGCCTGTGACTTTGAGACCCCAAGGTGGAATTCCAGACAGCAATAGACACAGCTTTGCTTGGTTCTGCAGGAGAACACCACCTTCAATAACCTCCCGATCCTGGTTAAAATGCAGACGGTCAGTGTGGTCGAAGGTGAGGGCCTGCTTAGGGGCCTGGCTGGTTGCCTGGAATGCCACCCCCAACACACCACCTCCAGGGATGCTTGCTGAGAGAGGAGCTGGGCAGTGTTGGGGATGGCTGTCTTCCCTGTCTGTGAGTCCCAGAGATTTGGCCCTGACTCCTGGGTGCCCTTTTTATCCTCCAAAACCCTATGGCTTTGGGCAGATCTGAAAAAGGCACTGGCTGAGCAGCCTGAAGGTGTGAGGATGCTGGCCCAAGCATTCCCAGGTTCAGAGGCAGCTTCCCGCTGGAGCCAGGCACTGGAGGGGCTGGAACAGCACAGCCGCCCCTACTTGCAGGAGGTGCAACGATATGAGACGTACAGGTGGGTGGTGCTTTGAGCCTCCACCCACGCATGGTCACTTCCAGCCTGACAGTACTACTGCCTCCTTTTAAGCCAAGAACCCTAACACCTATGACTTCCTTATCTCACCAGGCTGTGTATGCCCGAATCTGAGCCTGGGGACCCTGTAAAAGCTATGAAACCTCAGCAAATGTTCACACCTCTACTTCTAAAGATTCGGTCTGGTGCCTAGAGGCCTAGGTCCTAGGCCAGCCCTCTGGTACCAGATGGCTTCCTTCTCAGTGAATCCCATACTCTTCTCTGTGACAGGTGGATTTTGGGATGTGTGCTGTGCTCTGCCATCCTGCTTGTGGTGATCTGTAACCTGTTGGGCCTCAGCCTAGGCATCTGGGGGTTGTTTGCCAGGGAGGACCCCAGCCACTCTGAAACCAAGGGCGAGGCTGGAGCCCGCTTCCTCATGGCGTAAGGAAGGGTTGGGGAGGGGAAAGGGGCCCCACTGTTGGGTTGCCAGATTCCTCCTGGTACAGCTACAGGAGTGGAGTCTGGCAAGTCAGGAGAATGAGACTTGATGCTTACCTGGTCCCCACTCCTTAAGTGACTCTGGGTAAAGCAATGACCCCCCTGGGTCTCAGTGTCTTCCAAGAGCGTTGAGCTGAAGAAAGAAGAGCAACACCAGTAGTATAGTAACTACAGTACTCCCATCAAGCCCAGCTTCAAAATTCTTCTTAACCCAGCCTCTAGGTAGTCCCAAAGCCATCAAAGGCAGCAAAGGCAGAATCTGTTTGTCATCCTTAAACTAGATGGCCTTATAAGGACAGGGTTGCCACATACAATTGGCCAAGTTGTTCATACCAGGTACCTGGTCAAAGGGATTAGTAAGGAGTTGAAATCCACCCTATGCTTTGCTCTCCAGGCCTCATGACCTGGCATGGGGCTGTGCCAGCTCACAAAGACACTCTAAGTCAGTGGTGCCGGTCAAAGAGTCTTTACTGCTCAGCGTCTTTAGAGTCTATCTATGTAGATGATAGTGACTCTGTAGAAAGGTTGGGCACTGGAGCAGGTTACTTCCATGAACCCTAAGTTCAGATATGGCTCTTTGAACAAGCAGGTGTCCTTCCTCTAGGCTACTATGGCAGTGGAACCCAACAGTAAGATGGGGGTGGATGGGTGAGGATGCCAAGGAGTTGCCAGGAGTACTGGGTTCTCCTTTGCCAGGAGACATCCCTCGCGGTTTATGCTAACCCCAGGATGTGGGTGGGGACAAGCATGGCTCAGGGCAGTCAGCTTCCACATCCCCTCAACCACGTCTCTCACCTCCAGAGGTGTGGCCTTCAGCTTCCTCTTCTCAGCCCCCCTCATCCTCCTTGTCTTCGCCACTTTCCTGGTGGGCGGCAATGTGCAGACGCTGGTGTGCCGGAGCTGGGAGAGTGGAGAGCTATATGAGGTGGGCCTGGGCCTGTTCCAGCTCTGAGGGAGCCGAAGTGAGCTTGGGCCAAGAGACTGAGTCAGGAGGAAGTGGGAGCCAGAGGTGCGAGTGGAAGATAGAGACAGGAGGAAGGGGGGTACAGATAGACACCAGTGAGTCCCAAGCCCCTAAGGTGCTCTCCAGCAAGGACTCCAGGTGGTGGCACCTACACCCTCCACCCCAACTCTGAGTCTGGGAAGGATACTGTACTGAAGGCTCTGCTTGCATCACTGCCAGAGATGCATGGGCAGTCCCCATAAGGGGTCAGGGCCTGGAGTCATTTGAATTAGAGAGGGGGTTTGGTTGGAGTAACGGGTGGCACCGAGCATTAGGGCAGCCTTGCCCCTCACCTCTCTGTGCTCCACTTTCTCCTGCCCAACTGCAGTTTGCTGACACCCCGGGGAACTTGCCTCCATCCATGAACCTGTCCTACCTTCTTGGCCTGAGAAAAAACATCAACATCTCCCAGGCCTATCGGTGAGTGGGTGTCCTGGGACTGGGGCTAGGGTCGGGGAAGAGAAGGGAGGTGCAAAAGTGGATGTCTCCTTAGGGTGATGCCAACCCCACCCGCCATCCCTGGTGGCTCTTCGTTGATGTGTATCTTTCTTCCCCAGACAGTGCAAGGCAGGGGCAGTACTCTGGAATGTTCTACAGCTCAATGACTCCTATGACCTGGATAAGCACCTGGATATCAAACAGGTAAGGAAGTGTTTCAGACGATTGTACATCCCTTTCTTCTGTTTTTTCTGGGGCATTATCTCTGAACTAAAAAACAAAAAACAAAAACAAAACAAAATCTCTTATCAAGGTACCCAAGCCAGAGATCTGAGCAACCAACTCAGGGCCTGACCAGGGGTTGAACTCTGGAAGATTCTAGGGACATGGGTCACCATGGGCTTCTCTAAGCATGTGCTCCAGGGAAAGATGAATACAGCACAGGTTATGGGAGGAGAGGACAGTGACAGTGGGGGAGGGAGGATGTCCCGATGGGGACAGGTACCATGTTCTAGCTGGAGTGGCGTGGGAGTGTTCCTGAGCCAGTTGAGCAACACTGGTGGAAAGCTCTCTGGGACCCTTGCTGAACCCTCAGAGCCAGTAGGTGGCAGTGGCAGATTCTGTCCCTCCAGTCTGACTGGCTGTCCCCCCAGGACTCATTTGCTGGAGATGGTGCAGGTTCTGGGTGCAAAAGTATGCAAAGGTAGAATGGAAGGGGTGGAGAACAGAGGCACTTGTCAATACTGACAAAAGAGCCTCAGAACCTGGCACTGGGGATCTTTAGAATGTGGTTCTAAAGATACATGAAACATGCCCTCTTTCCTCTCTCCATCTTGAGGTAAAGTGGGGTGAGAGCCTTGAGGAAGCTGTTCCTCCTAGCATGTCCTAGGAAACAGGACACACCCTCTAACACACACAGACACACACAGAACACACACACACATTCTGGCTAGCACTCTCGCTGCCCATACAAAGCCCAAGAAACCTCTTGGATTCATCTCTATCCCTAATTATGGGGTAACACAATCAAATAAGACCAGTCTCAACTCCTTAAGCCACAGCCAGGGATGTTTGCTTAATGTCAGCACCTTTTCCCTCTAGTGTCTTTAACCAGAGACAGTTGCCCCTCAGTTGGAGGCTTTGCAACAAACAGGTCCTGGGTACAGTGGGCTTCCAACTCTGCTGGCTAGAAGTTATCTCAGCCTTAAGTGATCTTGGTCCCAGAGAACAAGAGTCCAGCTTTCAGAAATGTTTAGACCAATAAGGCTTCTGGTTCTGAGGGACCAGGAAGTTCTTTGAGGTTTCATGGTATTTTATCAAATGTGACCTTGAAAAAAACTTCTCAGAAAAGACACCAAAAGGCAATTTTGCACAGAACAGGAAGATAAAATGTGCCATCCAGGGCACCAAAATGTCTGCTGCTTCATGTCCTGTCCCTGTCAGTGATGCCCATTAAGACAGGTGGGCAGCCCTCTCCCTGGAGGAAGGTTACCTAGTAAGATGAGGGGAGGGGACCAGAGATGGGCTGCCTTGTCTGATATTGAAGCTGGATGTCATGACCTCAAGAGAGGCAAATGCCAGATGTCTTTCCTGGAAATGTGGATGTGTTCACTCACTCACTCACTCCTTGCTCACTCACTCCTCGCTCACTCACTCCTCGCTCACAAGTCTACAAACTTGCGTCTCACCTACCACTCGACAGACTCTGCTGCAGATGAGAGTGTCTCAGAGTAGTTAAAGTCCCCGAGATTACGGAGCTGATGAGCTTGCATTAACAAGTCCGGGAGTAAGTAATGTTAGAGGATTAGGTGCTGCAAAGACCTTACAACAGAGGATGTGATGAGAAAGTTCCAGAAAGCTATTTTGTGTCAGCTGTCCAGAGAAAGTCTGTGCCACAGCCCAGTTTACCACATGATCCCTGGAAGCAGGCTGGGACTCGGAGTAGAGGTCTCTTGGGAGCCTGTGATGTTGTATCCAGAGTTGGAGCCCTGGAGATGCAGGTAATGGCCCTTAAACCAAGTGACCAAGTTCAACAATGTCCCCCATCCTGTCCTCTCCCCCAGTATACCTCCAAGCTTCAGCAGGAGTTTCAGAGCTTCAAAGTAGATTTGAAGGATCTAGACCTGTTGAGCCCTGCTGCCCGCCAGGACCTGGAGGCTTTGCAGAGTAGCAAGCTGGAGAATATCCACTACAGAGATTTCATTGTACAGGTCAGTGAGGGGGAAATCTGGTGCCCCAGCAGGATGTGACATCCCATGAAAGGGCCATTCTGGGTGTGTTTTGCATCTCTCCAGCTCTTTCCACTCGTGGGGCTTTTTCCTGCTACCGACCTACATGCACTTCCCCAGGTCCCTCAAGCAAGGGCATGTGTCGCTGTTCATGGTCCTGAACGCACCACAGCAAAGAACTGTTGTATGACACTGGCTTTTCCCTCCCCCCCTTTTCCCCACACATATGGATGTTTTGCTTGCATGTGTCTGTGCACCACATGCAGTGGCTGCAGAAACAAAAAGAGAGAAGCCGATACCATGGAACTAGAGTTTCAGACAATTGTGAGCCACCATGTGGGTGCTGGAAATCCAACTGGGGACTTCTGGAAGAGCAGGCAGTGCTTTTAACCACCAAGTCAACTCTACAGTTGGACAGTGACTTTCTTCCAGTCATTCCAGAGGGCACCTTGTTTCATTTTCTTTTAAAATTCCATTAGAAACTCTGAAATACCACAAAGCTTCAATTCAAACTCAAGATGACCCCTCATAATGGACTTACTGGGGCTGGGGATATGGCTCAGTTGGTAAAGTTCTTGTCTATCATGTGTAGAGCCCTGGATTCTGTCCCAAGTCCTACATAAAGCCTGATGTGGTAACACATGCCTGAATCCCAATTTTTGAGAGACAGAGAGGAGAAAGTGCAAGTCTGAGTTCAGCCTAGGCTCTATGAGACCTTCCCTGAGATAATAGAGAGAGCAATGGGGGTGGGGGGTGGAAATGAATGGGCATGGTTGGTACCGGACACATTTGACATGTCTAGAAACTCAGAGGCTGAGGGTAACTGGGGACATCTGCCTTCTTGGTGTCTCTTGTCTTTCCTCAGATCCAGCAGCCTGTGGTGAAGACTGACATGTGGCAGCTGGGGCAGGAGCTGGAAGGACTGGCCCAGGCCCAAGTAAGAAGGGAGCAGAGACCCTTTAGCCAGAGAGCCATCAAGAGGAAGATCTGGGCAGGAGGGGCTAGGAATGCTGGGATTGGAGAGGGGACAGGGACATATGGGGCTAAGGCTTTTTACCCTGCTGTTGGGCTTGAAGCCCTGCACCTTCAGTTCCCAGTCAGGCCCTGCTGCCAATTTTGAGTGGCCTTGGGGAAGCCATTTCAGATCTCTGGTTCTCCATCTGTAGACTGTCCCAGTCCCAGATCAGATGAAGTATCTGGCCTAAACTCACGCAGCTGGGCCAGCCTCAGAGTCCACTGGGACAGGTGTTGTAAGGACCCCGAATGGACACGTGCAGTCAGTAATGGAAGCCACCCTGTATTTACAGATATCCCATATTACTGAAGTTCCCTTTCAGATATCTTGACCTTGGGAGAAGCAGAGAGCTATGCCCAGTTTTAGCAGTAGGATCTACGGCTTCTACGTAGAGCATCCAGCTTGCGGCCGACCTAGAGCAGGGAAAGCCGGAGCTTGGGGGTTTTCTGTCTCTGAGCCCAGCACTTTTCACAATCCCTTTAATAAATCCCTTTAAAGGGCTGCTCTCCCTATTGGGATAGGACCCATTGGGATCCTTTTGTCTACCCTCAGAATGACTCTTCACTGAGGCAGCAGCTACAGGATGAGGTCAGAGAACTTCGAAGCCTTTACCAGGAGAAGGTTGCCCCCCAGGAGAGCCTTGTGGTAAGCTCAGAGGGATTCTGAGTCCTGAGGGAGAGAGGGATGGAGGGGACAGCCACATTCTTCATTTCTTGCCTCTGAATTCTTGACGGTAACAGCCCTGATTCTTCCTCCACAGGCCAAGCTCAACCTCAGTGTCAGGGCCTTGGAGTCCTTGGTCCCCAAACTGCAGGTGGCTAATGGGAGTGTGTGTGGAGTGAGGGTGGGGGGCAGACTCAGAACAGGTGGGCAATAGCAGAAAACAGAATGGCTGCTTTGAGATCTCTAATTGTCCTGTCCTATTAGAAAGTGAAGGGCCGGGTCAGATCATTAAGGATCCCCTTTTTTGGCCTCTGGGTCCTAGAGCCTGCCCTTCCTCTCTTAAGGTGGTGTGTGGTATAGTGTAGGATGGATGGTGAGTGGAGAGATGAGTGGCTGAGCTGGGATCTTGTCTCCTGCAGGCAAATACCTCAAGCTTTCTTGACACTGTGGCCAGTCTAAAAGGAGAGCTGCCGGTGCAGCTCCACCACATCCTGAGGAATGTGAGTTGAGGGCAGGGTGTGGCCTCTAAGCCAAGCATGAAGAGTCTATCCCAGGTGTCTTCAGCCCATCCTCACTGTGGCTTCCGTGAGAGCTAGGCTCATCTTGATGATCCCAGATATGGAGGGGTGAGCAGAGGTAGGACCCTTGCCAACCCAGGGCTCCTCTCTTTTCTGCAGGCCACGGAGTGTTTCCTGACCAGGGAAATAGGCTACTTCTCTCAGTATGTGACCTGGGTGAGAGGAGAGGTAAGTGACAGTACAGAACTCTGCCTGGGCCTCAAAGCATACCCAGCCCAGGGGTCCAGCTGTGAGCCCTTCTGGGGTACCCTAGGCTTTTGGGATTGAACCCAAACCTGCCATCTGCATCTTGCTCACAAACTGAATGCTGTCTACTCCACTTCTACCCCCAGCCATTTTGTGAGACCCAAGTATGGACGGGGTTGGCCATAGCTTTCCAGAATATTTCATCTACACCTTACCCCCATGCCTCTCCATGAACAGGTCCTTCATGCTTCTTTAAGGCCAGCCAATCAAAGCCCACCTCCCCCTGCACACCCTGTGGGCCACAACTTCTGGGAAAGGCTTCACAGGGGGTTGGCTTACCTTGGGTATCTGTGTATGTATGTGCACATGCATGTGAAGTCAGACATGTGTGTGCCTCTCTAGTGAGGATGGTTTAAAGTCACGGTGGGGGACATAGTGAGACTTACATACAGGCTGTTGAGTATGCAGAGGGGGAGAGCTGAGCAGGAAGTTCAGTGTCCTAACCTTCCTGTGGGCCCATGGCCATTATGTCTGTGTGTGTTCCCACTACTCTATGTGCAAGTGTGAGGTGTTCCTCAGAACATGGGGTACACATCTGTAGGTTCAGCTGTCTTCACGTCTGCCTACCCCATGTTGGCATGACAGGTGACTCAGCACATCGCCACATGCCAGCCCCTCTCTACAGCCCTGGACAATGGTCATGTGATCCTGTGTGACATGATGGCCGACCCCTGGGTGAGTGTCCCCAATCCACCATGGATACAGAGCAAATGGAAAGGGGCAAGAGGAGGGCATGAGCCCAGGCACATGGAGTCCATGCAGGGCCTCTGGGCACCGGGCTGGTGGGAAGGCACCAAGCCCAGCTCAGTGAGTTGACCTCATGGCTCCTGTCCAGAATGCCTTCTGGTTCTGCCTGGGGTGGTGCACCTTCTTCCTCATCCCCAGCATCATCTTCGCTGTCAAGACCTCCAAATACTTCCGTCCCATCCGGAAACGCCTCAGGTGAGGGTATCCAAGAATTCTTTACAGCCATTGGACTATACCCTGTCCGGAAACCTCCCAGCAGAGAGTTTCTGGCCCAACTCTAAGGAGTGTTGGGGCCTGGAAGTTCTCACATAAGCCTGCTACGTGTCTTTCTTGCTGCAACACATCCACTTGGGGGAATAGCTTGGAACTTCTCATCCTCTGGAGGATTCCTGAGGCAGGGACATCAGAGCTCCGGGTGTCCCTGTGTCAGGGCTGAGGGTCTGTGCTAGGGACTCACTTTAGTTCTGTGATGTCACAGCTCCACCAGCTCTGAAGAGACACAACTTTTCCATATACCCAGGGTCACCTCCCTGAAGTTATAGAACCTACTGGTGAGTTCTACTCCTCCATAATCCCTCAGTGCCTGATTTGAGGGGCTGAGATTTGGAGTTTTCACTATTCAGGAGGGCAGGAAGGCTGGGGTCTCTGTCTGGGTGTGGATGGGACCTGACCCCCACCACCACCTGTTTCCTTTTTAATTTATAACAGGGCGAGGTGATCCCTGGGGGCTTCCTGTCCTTCTTCCTTGTCTCAGCCTGGACCAGAAGACATCTGCAACCTCTGTCCCGGAGCCCAGGCTGGCCTCAAGTACTGGGTTGTCCCCTCTTCTCTAGCTTACCCAGTTCCATGTTTGCACTTTCTCCTCATGACCCAAATCACTCTCAATCTTTACTGAACTACAGAGTGAACAGGTTCTTCTGGGTGTGTAGACTTGTCCTCCTTGCTGTGGTATCTCAGCAACAGGAAAGACCTCTTCACCACCCATGGGAGTTCTTTCTCCATCCTTTAGATGGGACACAGCCCCCTCCATTTGCCCATTTCTTTCTCCCCTCTCCTATCTAAGCTTCTTTCCCCTTGTCTAAGTTTGGTTCCCCCACTTCCTCCAACATCCTTTTTGTTCCCTCCCCAGTTCACTGCTTGCTCTCTCCATGGAGGTCCTGCCTCCCCCTTTCCCCTTCCCCTTGTCCCTACTGCCACCTTGCTGGCTCCCAGGCCTCCCTGTACAGAACAAATATCACGGTTGAGGTCATGACCTCTGAGCCTTCTGCAACTCTCTTCTGGATCTCCTGTTCCCAGTGGGGCGAGAAAGGCCTGTCTAAGGGCTGAGCTGTCCTATCTGCATCCTGGCTTAGAAATACCAGTGCTGGCCCTATCTTCTCTCTGAGCATTGGCTCCTAAGAGAGAACCAGGAATGTGGGCCATGCTGGGGATCCCCCTTGTCTCACAGACAGTAGCATGGGTGGTCCTACTGTCTTCCCAGGATGGATCTGGTAGTAAGAACAGGGTTTTGCACTCCCCCACCATCCTGCACACATGGCCTGGAATCACCCCTCACTTATCTCTGTATTGTCTCCATGTGCTGGGCATTGGGTCCAGAAAGGACAAAGAAAAGAGAGATGATATGGACCAATCTCTGCTGCAGTAACAGGTTCTTACTTTCCTATGCTTTGGTTCTGGGTCCCTGAGGCTGGGTCTCTAAGGCAAAGGCTCAGTATACAATTGGTATTTAGTAAGAAGAATTCTGAGGCCTCTCTAACTGCAGGAGTCCTGGGACTGCTACAGCAATTCAGTGTGGGGAGCAGAGCCTGCCTTAGTTGTGTGATTCACAGCCTGGTTCTGATGCTGCTAGCTGGGGCACCTCAAACATGTCACGTAGGTCCCCCAAGCCTCAATTTATTTTATTATAAAATGGAGAGGCTCCTCGGAGCCTGTGTGTAGGTTGTGAAAGTCAAACATGGTGATAAGTGGAAACCCTTGACAGGCCTGGTGCTGAGCAAGTACAGCTCGTGCTGCCCTGGAGTTGAGAGCCAGGCTGAAGACAGAGCCAGGGTCTTGCATAAAGCGTGTGAATGCCCTTTATGGTGGTAATCCTCCCCATCTCTGGGCATGTTCATGTGGAATTACATTATGAATGTACCAGCACCAGTTTTGCTGCTAGGACTAAAGATGGTAGTACCCCGTGTACAAAGATTCCAGCAAGCATACTCTCAAACAGGCATCCTGGGATGTGCTTTTCTACCCCCAGCGGTTGGAAGGGTTTGTTTTGTTGTTTGTTTGTTTTCAGTTGTTACTCATTTGTTAACTTGGGGGTGAGGAAGTGACACCCTGTATATTTTTAAACGCGACTGATTGGATTTAAACAAATGAAACAAAAGCAATTAAAAATCATTTCCAGTTCTCTGTCAGAGTTGCTCGTCTGATCTACTATAGACCTGAGCACATTTAAGCACAGCTATTTTAAGCTTGATTCTCTCCTGTAGATGGGAGTCCCTAGTGATCTGCTCCTAGTGGCTGTTGTAGCCCTTGTTTCTGTCCGTCTCATCTTGTCTCTCCTATATGGTAGGGCTGCTTGAGTATTGGCACTCTTGTATCTGAAATCTGTCAGAGTAGTTGGAGGCCTCGGACAACATCATCTTCCCTGACACGTGTGTACATCTAGCAGTGGTGCAGGAGGCAGCAAACAGGGTCACCTTAATACTTTGGCAGGGGCCAAACAACTCAAAGTTCCCTGGAAAGTAGGTCAATGCCAACACTCCACATTCCCAGGGGGAAGCCCACCCCAAAATCATGGAAAAATCACACCTGTCTTGAGTGGGCTTGGCTTTGAGCCAGGTGTTAGTTAAAGCTATATTTAGCATATTCTGGGATAAGAACACAGCCACCATTCCCACCATGCCTGTTTTTTTATGGTGCTGGGATTCAAACCCAGGACTTCATTCATATTAAGCAAGCATTCTATTAAATGAGCTACACTTCCCTTCCAGCTCTGTGGCTCTTTACAGACCTGTTTGCTCTCTGCAGCATGCACACACACACACACACACACACATATACACACACACATGTATGTATATATGTGTGTGTTATATTATAATATATATGATATATATAGCAATATATATTTATAAAATATAAATGTAATAAATATATACATAACAATATATATAAAACAATAATATATATAACTATATATATAATATATATATTATTTTAAATGCTCAGAAGGCACATACATCACAATTCTCTTTTATAAGTTGTGTCTAACTGGGAATTATTCCTCAAGTTTAACACCCAGCCATGGGACACTAGTTTGAAATAGGGGTTGTTCAGAGATACCCAGGGATGGAGTGGTGCTGGCAGTTGACAAAGAGACAGATATAGCCGTAGAGGGAAACATGGCTACTTTCCTGGTTTAAAATGCTCAGTGGTACCTGGCTCAAGCTGCTTCGTATAGAAACTGAAACCTCTCACACTGGCAGTTATCTGCCACTACTGTGCTGTCTGAGGAGGTCAAATTTATCTGTGGTTGCGCCTGATGAAGCTCCGGGAAGTTACCTGGTGGCTTCAGGGTCATCTAAGTTAGTTTCAGGTCCCCTGGTCCTGACCCTCCCTGGACATGTTCTGGATTCTTTGCAGGTCTCCAGCTCCTGCAAGCACATGAGAGGGAGGCTCTGTCTCCAGGGAAGTCTGAGTCAGGTGTCCTTTGATGTTTCTGTAGCAGGAGGGATGGCAGATTGGGAGCCCTAGCAGTTCTGCCAGATGCTCCACCTGGTCACTCAGCACAAGGCCCTGTGGCAGATTCTGCCAAAGGAGTACCAAGTGGGTTAGGGCATCTGAGGTTCTAGGTGAGCAGGTCTGGGCAGCTCAGAGTACAAAGCAAGGGCCACATGGCTAGGGGGTGCAGCAGTGTGAGCAAACATCTATTCACTGAGCTAAGTCTGTAAATCAGGAAGTGAGCTAGGCACTATGAATTAGCCAAGAAAGAGGCAATCATTTAGCTACTTGGTTTAGAAAAGGAAGACACAGGGATTGGGTGTGAGCAAGATACACCCAGAGGAATTCCCTGGGTCCAGCCTGAAGTCCTACTCACTTTTGACAGTGGACCGTGTCTCTCCCCCTATTGTCCAAGAGACAAAACCATTTCCTTACGTCTTCTGGACATGTTACTGAGCTAGGATGCTGACAGCCAGCTTGATGGAACAAAGCTTTTACTCCTTGCAACTTGTCCTTCCCTGAGTATCTCAGCTATGCCATGTGGAGTACTTCACACTCTTCAGTCTTACAGACAGTAATAACGTTGTAGACCTGGGTGAGGAGAGTTGGAGTGATGGGAAGTGAGACCTAACCTGCCTGCTGCCCACAGGTGATGTGGGATTTAGGGATGAGGCAGCCACGCCCTCATCTGCATTACCAAGGAGCCAGGGCCAATGGAGACTTGAGGGAGGGAGGCTAGGCCTGAGGGTGAAGTGAGGTGCCTTCCCTTTACTAAAGCCAGAGGCAAGAGGCATCAAAAAAGAGCAAGAGGGTCAGAAAGATGGCTCGTTGGATAAGGGAACTTACTGCCAAGCCTGGTGACATGCACTAGAGCTCTCAGACCAAGTGGCTGGAGAACCGACTCCCACAAATGTGCTTTGAGCACCACACAGCTACTGTGACCCATGTCCACTTCCTGCCTCCTTTACATAAAAAACAAGAGCAAGTGGGGTTCATGGACTCTTAAAATGCAGGGGCCAGATGCTTCCTTCTCCCTCGTTAGGGGTCACTGTTAGCTGTATAAATGTAGCTCTGGGGGAGGGCTACTGGTTCAAATGAGGGTTCCAGTGAGAGTTGGGATGGGGCCACATTGGTTGGCCCTGCTCCAGGCCTGGCAAAGGCACAGGCTTCAGGCAAGAGCAGGTGCCTTTACCCCTGCGTGTTGGAAGTTCCTTGATAACCATGACCCGCAACCACAAAACAGCCACCTGGAAAGATGGACCCACCAACTGCTGAAACTGCCTCCATCAGAAGGCCTGGAGGCAAGTGTGTAGGGCATTGTATTGATTAATGGTTGATGTGAAAGGGCCTAGTACACTGGGGGCAGTGTCGCCCCTGGGCAGGTGGGTGTTGGCTGCATAAGGAAAGCAGGCTGAGCAAGCCAGGAAGCAGTGCTCTTTGGTGATCTCTGCTTCCCTTCCTGCCCTGCCCTCCCTCCGTGCTAAACTGTTTACTGAAGTAAACCCTTTCTGCCCAAAAGTTGCCTGTGGTTTATCACAACAACAGAAAGCAAACTAAGACATTGGGCCCTGAGGACCCTTGGAGCTGCCCACGACAGAAAAGGGAGAGCCAGTAACTCCACCAAACCCAGAGAGAGAAGCTTAGCCAGGGCTGACCACCCAGGCCAGCGGCCCCCATGTCAGGACAGGTATGCTGAATAGGAGTGAACCAAAAGAGAGCCCCTGGTGTGCTGTGTGGCACGAGGTGACTAAGATCTGCTTCTGTTCCCCTCCCAAGAAGGGTCCTGGCCTGTCAGGTTTCCATGTAGCTGGTGGCAAAAGGGGGTCTG